AAACCATTGTTCCATGTCCCCTTTCATGCACCCTTCTTTCATTCGTTCCGTGTCACCTAGCTCCGCAATTTCTTCTCTTCTTATTTTTTCCCCGGGCGCTGCATAGTCTTACCCGTTGCTCAATGGCTTGTCGTATGATTGGAATCTGTCGTTCCTTTTTCCCCCATTCCCGGCCTGCTACACCAACCTCAAAGCTCCTCAAGCCCCGCCGATCCAGCCGCCAGCAGCAGCACCACCATCACTAGCAGCACCACCAGCAGCAGAACCATCAGTTGCAGCACCATCATCAGCAGCACCAGTGCCTTCACCAATGCCACCTCCACCAACTCAACCACCATCTGCAGCACCAACAACACCCCCACCTGCAGCGCCACCATCACCAGGGCCATCATCACCATCACCTTCCAGCAGCCCGTCCATCCCATCCCCACCATCCCCACTACCACCACCACCAACACCACCTTCACCATCGCCACCACCAACACCCAAACCTGCCTCGCCAGTGTTTGTGAGAGCCCTCTACATCAATGCAATGATAGTTTCCGTGCTAGCCCTCATTATTGTTGTCTTTTGATGTGAGTGATGGATTTCACAGTTGCTGTTAATATATGCAGGGTGAGTGTTTTGTGATGGGGCATAAGCTTTGCCGTTTGGCATCGGTAGCTATTTATCTGCTTGGAGTTGCTGGTCAAATAAGAATGTGATTTTTAACTGAGGAGAAGGTAGCTGAGGTCGATGGTTGAAGTTGTTCACCCTTACACCTGAAAGTTATGTGAACCCCGTGTTCCAACACATCTATCCAAGATCATGCTTGTTGTGAACCTATTACGATTCTCAATTGTATCTCTTGACAGTGTGGTGTATATATCACGTCCGTACGAATTTCCTCCCCGTCGGTCAATGTTTGTGGTGTTGAAATTCGCGAGGAAACCCGGTTTCGCGATGCGGAACCCCGAAGGCTTGCTTCGCGAACGATTTTTCACCAAGCGAAGAATATCATTTACCACCAGCACATCTCGGCGAATCTCGAACGAAACTGAGGTGGTACACCAAGTGAGTGGCATGTGTGCGCAAAACTCCCCGATTGGGACAGTCGTTGTGGTCAACGAGGAATCACACAGAAATATTTCCCCCTCCCACACAGTCCAGGTATTTCCTCAAGAGTTTCCGGCGGACACAGAACAGCCCCCTCTCGCACCGCTCAGCAAGGTTAAGTCTCAACAACACGGCAGCTTGTACCTCCAATAATTGTGACTAGGAATGGAGCAACCTCCAATAATCGTAACTAGAGATCGAGCCGCCGCCAAAACTGCGTCGTCAGTCCGACGATAATCAAATAGCGAGCCCGCAGGGAAGATCCCTGTGTCGGAAAAGCGGTCCGAGAGTCGGGATTGCATCACAGACCAGTTAGTATCCGTGCAATCCTGGTGACATCGCGAGCGCGCCTCGGCTAGTCGTTACGTCCGAGCCGAGACGAGCTATGGGCCGCGAAACAGCCGATTCAAGCTCTGTATTCTCAGCGCTCTCTAGCTTGCGTATCAAGTATAAAGTAACAATGGTGTCTCCACATTATACGTTCGATAGCGCATCCGTCTCGCGCATTTGTCTGATTTCTAGTAAGCCACCGCTAATCGCGTTCCGTCGTCGGACACACTTTGTCGTCGCATCGACGCGCTATCTCGGTGCCATCCCGCTGCCGCCGGTCTTGCAAAGAGTCTCCCCAAAGCTTACCGTCTTGGTCCGTCTCTCCGGTTCGCTTGATTCACAGCATTGACTCATAGGACCAACGATGGGTGCATTTTCCACAAGATCGACCCTTACCTTTCTGGTCGCACTCATAGCGATGCTAGCAGCGGTTTCCCACGCCCTCGGCAGCCGCGAATCAAGTGTAGGGACACCTACAATGGCTGGGCTGAAATTTGGTATTCCTCGTAGGGCAATGCGGCGTGTAATGCGGGGACCCAGCGACCAGATCTCCGTAGATCCCTCTGATACTCCCGCATTGCGGCCACACAGCGCCTCTGCACCTCCGGCGGGGGACCAGCAGCCCTCACCTCTCCCTTCCGCCACCGCTTCCGCCGCCCCTCCTGGGGCAAGGCTCATTCCCCTGCGTGGCGCGAGATCTGCGCGGACCGCCGTGTCGCCATACGCAATAGTGCCAAATTCCACTGTAACTGCCCAGAGCTCGTCCGCGACGCGGTTCGTCCCTCTCAGGCTGCGCCTCGGAAAGCTGCAGCACCAGCTGCAGCGGCGCGAGCTGGAGGGTGCGATGGACATTGCGAACCAGGGTGGCCCGATACTGGCCTACCCGAAGGTGTACTTAATCTACTATGGGACCTGGCCCGAGGGGGTCGGGCAGGATGTGATTGAGAATTTCATAAACTCGCTGGGCGGGGATACCATCGCGGAAAAGGATAATTGCGATTTTGGGGGCTCAAAGGTTTTTCTGCGAAAAAACCTGCGACTGAGTTGCGCGAAGTGTAAAAAAAACAACGCACGCAAAAAGCGACTTTCTGTACACTAATTGCGAATGCGGAAAAATGTGACCGCAAAGTTGCAGTTCCGTCAACATTTACGAGTCACTCGGTTTTGCGCGGTTGAGAGAGTTTGAAAGCGTTTTGGCAGTGTAACGCTGACAGTGGCCATGGTAACAACAAATTTTACGAAACTGAACGACCCCACGAAATCTAGCGAGGTTACAAACGTGGATACATCGTTTTCGTTTTTTCTCAAATCTGAACCCAACCACCCAACCCAACCCACAAACGGCAAATGGTTTCTTTGGAGGTGTGACGTGGGAGCCAACAAATCAATTTGAACCAATCATTGTTCTGCTATGAAGAGTCAATCAATCTGCACCTTCCAATAGGTACACGTCAGCACACCCGAGGAAACCCACCCAAAACGTCCGCCCAATACTCCCTCAGCTTTACCGCTTCCACCTTTCTCCCATGATTCCCCTTAACACCTGTACCTCCCGTAGTAATACCCATAACCTACCCCGTCTCACCCCTCCCATTTCTTTTTCCAATGGTCACCAGACTAGCATTCTTGTTGTGATGGAACCTATTGAACATTTGCATGTCAGAGCCCACGTCAGAGCCTCATTCATGACTTCCCCCCTTCCATTTACCAAAACATTCCCCTTTTCAGGTCGACGAGTTTCAACATTTTCGTGGAGAACATGCACACAATTTTTTACGTTTAGGCGCCGTTCCAGCAGCTACTTCTTTAACAATTGGCAAGGTACTTAAATATCACTGAAGTATGTTTTTTTTATGTCTTCGCCATGTGTCCTATGTTTGCAGTCCCAAGTAATGTTACCTTCTTGGTTCTTACGATTGCATCTACTTCATATATTCGGTTAGAGACTAACCCTGTCCAGCATCTCACTCGTCGCCATGCGTAACCATCGGAGTTAGAGCAGCCGCAACCGACTATGCAAAATGTAAGTACGATGCATTTGGTGTTTCGCTTCCGTGGGTATCACTAACCCTTCTGGAACAAGCTCAGAGACGTGCGTAACAACAACCTTGTGGGTGCAGGTTTCACACATGTGAACGTCATCGCTTACCTTTTTTACTAGCAGGATTATAGATGTCGATACTCGCATTACCGTATGCGTTTTTTTCAGGGCGCCCCGGTTACTGCATGCTTATCGTCAACCAGTATCGCGCTATGCATATTGTTCAACACTACCCATTAGTACTGACCACAATGGTGAGTATTGGAAACGCAAACTTGGTGTACTTGTTAACCAAGTTTTCATGTCTTTTTTTCCAGTTTACATCCGTTTAACTTGTAGAGATTTTCTTCTTGCAGAGATGCGTTACAGTAAGTTGTGTTTGCATGTTTTGCAGGGCCAACCTGTTACCCCCTTCCACTGTCAACCAAAATCCTTAGTAACCATAATGGTGAGTGGTGGAATGACAATCTTGTTATGATTTTTTAACAAGGTCTTTTTCCTCTGTTTCTGCAGGCTGCGTCCATATTCTTATTAACAGAGTTCACACATCATCTTACCTGTGCATTATGCGTAGTAGTACTAGTAAGGTTGGGTAGATTGTACATTTGCAGCCTTGTAAGAGAATCATTATTATTGACATTTTCTATCCGTGCTGAGAAACGAATACCCATAAACGAGAAGCGTCAATCAAAACTGTCACTGTTCCAATCGCTAGCCAATAACAGTTATGTATCGCACGCCTACGATTGGTCCATGTGCCAAAATTTCGTGCGTCGATATGAATCTGATCCGACGGTTGTCGTTAGCGTACATTGCCATCCACGCCATCATGTTTCAGTTTCATCTCGAGTACGTCATAATGCCACGTGGCGTTCTCGTAACACTTTCGCTGTGGTTGCTGAGAAGTGACTTTCCGCAACTTTGAGGTTGATTTACTGCATACCGGGTTAGTTGCGTCAGTGTATGCTATTTCTGTCGATTTAGTGACAGAAAATTTGCATCGCAAGTCACTACAGCACCCACGATTTTGAACCTTGACTTTTTTCTTGCGGGAGAAATGCAACCCTAAAGTAACGTGGCAGTAACTTTCGAGTTGCTTTTTGTAGTTCCCTTTTCCGCGATGACGGGGAACCAGGGGGACCAGACGGGGGAGAACAGTGTGCGACGGTGGTGGGTCATCTCGACCAACTACTACCAGAATAACGACGACGGCTCTCAGACGTTCGTCAGTCCCGAGGTGAGTGTGTTCGTGCCCCGTGCCCCCATGCCCCGTGCATTTGCATTTTTTGTGCACTTACAAACATGCGATGGTCGCCTGCTACTCCTCTCGAATCGCATCATTTTCGCTTCATGTGCTTATACTATTCGGGCTCACTACTTTTACACCCGACACCCTCACCCGAATCCGAGTCATATCGTGTTGGGCGGCACGGTGACAGACGAGGGATCCAACGGCTGGGAATCCATCGATTTGGGGACGAGTGAGTCATGCGTGTGATTTTTCTGCTGGAACCGCGTTGCTCGCTTCGTTGTCATGCTATGCCATCATTCCCTGTTCCCTCTCGTATTTCAAACTTACTTCCTCAACCCCACCTTTTCACTCACCACACCCATCCGCTTCCACCCACCCATCCACTCCCCCCCAGCCCTTTCCTTCCCCCGCACCCTTTCATCCCAAACCCCTCCCCTTTCCCCCGCCGCTCCGTCCATCCCCCCTTTTCTTCGCCAGTCGTCAGCACGCACGTCGGAACGGAGCTGCCTGTAGACACTGACGGAATCTATCTCGTTCTCACGAGTGCTGACGTCAAGGTTGACGGATTCTGTGACGAATTCTGCGGATTCCACACCTCTCATACTTTGGATTCGGGGGAAAATGTCGCTATTGGTTTCATAGGGCACCACGACCTGTGCTGCAAATACGGCGAGTGAGTCTCGGCTCCGTGTTTTACGAGAATGTGAACATCATTTCCCTTTCCAATTCTCAACTACTATTCCACCAACTCGACTACTGCTTTCAGCACCACAGCCCAAATCCATCTCTTACCAACCGTATTCCACATCCCCAAACCCATCCAGCGTCACGCCCAATGGCATGCCAGGAATTGACGGCATGATCTCCACGATTGCTCACGAAGTCACCGAGGCTGCTACCAACCCAGACGTCTCGTCCGGATGGATGGCCTCGGACGGCGAAGAGAATGCCGATATGTGCGTGTGGCAGTATGGAGATGTTTCACAGGACACTGATGGTGATGGTAATACGTATGACTACAACATGGTTGGGAACGATGGGATGCGGTTCATGGTTGAAGGTAACTGGGACCTGATTACTAATTCATGCCAAATTCAAGCACAGGATGATGGGTACTGGAACTGAAATTCTTATTGGCATGTCTTGTTCTGCTCCAACTCCTTGTTGGGAGGAGTACCTGCTATGGTTGCTAAGTCACATTCACATTCAGTCAAGAATAAAGGGGTTTATTTTGAGTTTTGGACCCTGAATTTTATATCTGCATATGTAATTCAAGTATTTGTGTTGTCCTTTTGCTAATTATAGTAGTAAGAAGATTCTTGGTTTGTGTGCCACTTTTGCACTCATCAAAATAGAGCGTTCAGTTTGGCACCATTATCTCTAAACAAACCTACCGTAAACTGTAACGACTCAGACAAAATCGATAAATCCGATCGCCAGGCTCCATTATGGCATGGAGCAGTGATAATCGCCATTTGCCATTTCTGCGACAGCTTTCTGACACCGTCGTGTCCCGCGCAGCTGCGCCCCACACACAAGCCCCCCCTGGAGTGCTCGCTCCAGACCGCGAGAGCTTTCTGATCCTCCGCCATTTCACCGAAGTACCTCTAAGCCCTACTAGTTCCTTCGCGTGGTTATGCTCGGAGCTGCTCTCGTCGTAGCTCGGATCTCGCGTTCACACGTTGGCCTGATAGCAGCCGGCAACCTTTCTTGGGGGCTCATATGATTGGGATTTGATACGCTGTTTTAAAAACAGGGAGCCTGAATATTGTAGCTATGGTCGCAATGGTGTATGTTTGAGATTGCGAGCCATCGGGGACATCCACGGTCGACCGCGATTGACGGCGAAGGCGGTTTGTGTACGAAGCAAGGAGATAATCAGGCATGATCTAGGATCCAGATCAATTTGATTAGCTAAACAACGATCTAAATCAGTGATACGAGCGTCAAGCGTCGTGACCGTTGTTCGTTGATCGTTGATCGTTGAGCGTCGACCGTCGATCGTCGCGATGCACGGTCGACCGCGAGTGACGGTGAAGGCAGAGGGCAGCGCGGCGGGACAGCAGAAGGCGGCGGAGTCGAACAAGAAGGCGCTTCGGCTGCGCGCCTTGCAGGAGAAGGTGCTGACGTGGCACCAGCAGAACGTGTGAGTGGCTGAGGGGAACGCTAACATACCACTGGTAAGGCGGCTTGCGTAAGTGGCATTTTGCAGAGATCAAACTTGCACGGAGCTTTTGAGTCGACTCGAGAGTCATCAGGGTTTGCAGGGTGCAGTGCCGTGCACACCTCAGCTCCCCGCATATAGTCCGCGTGTGATGAGTCGATTTTTGAGTCATGGATCGACTCAAAAATCGACTCATCACACAGGGTTTACAGGGTGCAGCGCAGTGCAGTGCCGTGCACCTCAGCTCCCCGCATCGCGTTTCCATGGATTTACCACAAAGAAGCTCCCCCCCACACCCCTCCTCCTCCCTCCACCAGCCAGCGCTGCTCTGCTGGAGCAGAGCAGCGTGTACGTGTACGAGTACGAGTACGAGTACGAGCCATCTGCCCCTCATTCATTACTAGCCGCCATCTGCCCCTCATTCATTACTAGCCGCCATCTGCCCCTCATTCATTACTAGCCGCCATCTGCCCCTCATTCATTACTAGCCGCCATCTGCCCCTCATTCATTACTAGCCGCCATCTGCCCCTCATTCATTACTAGCCGCCATCTGCCCCTCATTCATTACTAGCCGAGCCGCCAGCGCTGCTCTGCAGGAACAGACACTCAATGTGTACTTGGCGTGGAACTGCCGCAAGAACGCTTCCCCCTTCCACCTCCCTCTCCTCCCTTTTTCCTCTGCAGGAGCAGAACCTCGATGTGCACGTGGCGTGGAACTACCTCTTTTTCCCCACTTAAAAATGGCCTTCCCCCCTCCCCCCCCTCTTCCCTTTTTTTCCTGATTTCAGCTACTCGCCTGAGGCTCTAGCAGCCAGCGCAACTCTCCTAGAGCAGAACCCTGACGTGTATGTCACGTGGAACTACCGCAAGAAGGCTCCCTCCTTCTCCTTCTCCCCTCCCTCTTTGCCTTTCAGTTACTCGCCAGAAGCACTAGCCGCCAGCGCTGCTCTCTTAGAACAAAACCCTGACGTGTATGTGACGTGGAACTACCGCAAGAAGGCGTTTGCCCACCGATGCGGCGCTCTGGAGGCAGGGGAGGGTGGGAGCAGGGAGGGGAAAGCGGTGCAGAGGGGTTCGGAGGTGAAAGAGGGGGAGAAGGAGGCGCAGGGGAAAGAGGGACAGGGGGAGGGGGGGAAAGAGGCGCAGGGAGAGGGGGGATCAGGGGAGGGAGAGGTGGGGACGGATGGGGCAATGGGTGAGGCGGAGAGTGCAGGAGGGAGGGGTGACAAGAGGGGAGAGAGTGAAGTTGGGGGGGAGAATGATGGGAAGCAGGGAGAGGAGCAGGAGAGGGTGGAACGGGAGCGAGAGGAAAAGGCGAGGAAGGAAGAAGAGAAGAAGATAGAGGAAAGGAAGATAGAGGAACGGAAGATAGAGGAACGGAAGATAGAGGAACGGAAGATCGAAGAAGCTAAGGGGAAGCTAGCAGACGAAGAGCTGAAGCTGGTGAGTGAGTAAACGGCGTGACTGATGGTACGATTGGCATAACTTGCGAGTCTGACAAGGCTACACTCACTGAGTCGCTCCTGAGAATTCGAAAAAACGGACGAAGATCTGAAAGTGGTGAGTGGTTTTGAGTGACCAATAGTACGTTTGGCACAACATGCGAGTCTGCCAATACTACACTGGACTGGATGAGGAGGTTGGCTCAAACCAACCCCCCACCCCTCCTCTTAACTCATCCCCTCCCCCCTCCATTGCTACTCTCCCTCACACATGCAAAACAGATAGAAGCAGCGGTACGGACCAACCCCAAGTGCTACGGCGCCTGGCCTGGCACCACCGCAAGTGGCTTCTTGAGTCACCTCAGAAATGTATCCTTCAACTCTCCCTCTCCAACCCAACTTCTTCCAAACACTCGCAACAGATAGAAGCAGCCCTACGGACCAACCCCAAGTGCTACGGCGCCTGGCACCACCGCAAGTGGCTCTTCGCCCTCTCCTCCACCGAGCCTCTCCCGAGCCTCGGAGCCAACCTCGGGCCGAGCCTGCAGCAGGTTCGGATCAATCTGCGGACGGAGGCTCGGATCGCCCGGGAGCAGAAGCTGCTGGGGATGATGCTGAGTGCCGATGATCGGAACTTCCACGCCTGGGACTACTGGAGGTGAGAGAGGGATTGAGAGCGGTATTGATGGGTATGGGTGGTGGTGATGCGGAAGTTGCTGGGGATGATGCTGAGTGCCGATGATCGGAACTTCCACGCCTGGGACTACTGGAGGTAACGGTGGTGAGGGGTGATGATGGGTGTGTATGGTGATATTGCAGGTTGATGCTGAGAGCAGATGATCGGAATTTCCATGCCTTGGACTACTGGAGATGTTGTAGGGATTGAGAGTGGTGCTGATGGGTGGGTGGTGATGCAGATGCTGTGGGGTTACAACCTTGCTCGCCTGCCACCATCCAGTTCCACCCATCGCATCTTCTCAGTTCCACCCATCTCATCTTCTCAGTTCCACCCATCTCATGGACCTCTCAGAAACCCTCTCCTTGTTTCCGTTCCACTCAGTACCGTCCTTGCTTCGTCACTCATGCTGCCCGTGCCCATCCCAACCCAACCATGCATGCAACCAGGTTCATGTCACATGTGGCCCGCATGTCACCATCCAAGGACTTGGGTTTCACCATGGAGCGAATCAACGCCAACTTCAGCAACTACAGCGCGTGGCACAGCCGCAGGTGAGTCATTCAGCTAGGACACGCCTGCTCAAAGGGTGCTAGGAGGTATAGGGTGGACCTGACCAACTTCTTTCGTCTGTGAGCAACCAAGGACCTGGCCTTATGCTCTTCACCATGCATCAAATCGAATCAGCGCCAACTTCAGCAACTACAGCGCGTGGCACAGCAGGACGTGAGACGAGGCAGGGGAGGAGGGAGGAGAGAAACAGCTGCGTCCAAGCCAGGGCTGTCCCAGGCAGCCCTGTGAGTTAAACCGTGTGAGCGATTTTTTAGAACTCTCTAATATTGCTTAGCCAGGACTATCCCAGGCAGCCCTGCGAGTTGGTGCGGCAGGCCTTCTTCACCGAGCCTGACGACCAGAGCGGGTGGATGTATCAGCACTGGCTGCTGCAGCAGATCCTGCCGCCCCTGCCGCCCCTGCCGCCCCTGCTGCCCCTGCCGCCCTAGTTTTCTTCCCCTCCGCTCTCAACCCCTTTGCGTTCCCTCTTCCCCCTTTCGCTCCGCCCAACAGCAAGCTGCTACCAATGCTCCACGCGTGCCCACCACCACCAACCACGCCCACTGCACCAGAGGCAAAGGGGTTGCCGCAGGCAGCATTGGAGGAGGAGTGTGAGTTGGTGCGCCAGGCCTTCTTTACGGAGCCAGAGGATCAGAGTGGGTGGATGTACCAGCATTGGCTGCTGCAGCAGATCCTGCCGCCCCTGCCGCCCCGCCTCCTCTCCTCCTGGCCTTCGCCTGGAAGCACTGTCTGCTACTCCTCACCTGAAAATCCACCTGAGAAATCTTCTGGAGGCGATTCTGCAGCTGGGGAGGGCGTTTCCGAATCTTCTCCCAGAGCTCCGAGGCAGGTTCGGATGTCGGCGGTGCTGGTGTTCTCCGAACCTGTGGTGGGGGTGACAAGAGAGAGTGTGACTCTAATGGGGGCTGGGATGGAGGTGGGCGAGTGGAGGGCTGTGGGGGGCGAAGAGGCGTGGCTTTCCGGGCGGCAGTCTGGCTGTGAGAGGGAAACGGGCGGTGATGTGGGGCCGAAGAGTGCGTCTGTATGGATGGCGCAAGTCGTTTGCTCCACATCTCATGAAGTTAGAGCAGCTGCTGCTTCCACTGCAGCTACTGATGCTGCTTTCACTGCAGCTACTGATGCTGCTTCTTCTGCTGCTTCTGCGGGTGGGAGGGAAACAGGTGCGGCTGCCTCATCACCCACCATCCTGGTCTCGTGGGTGTTCGCCCATCCATCTGCCATCCGCTCTGCTGCCACTTGCCAGTCCCTCCTGCTCCCCCACACGGACAGAACCTGCAGCAACGATGGCAACGGCAGCAGCAGCTTCACGCTACAGCTGCAAGGAAGCTCGTTGATTCTGCCACAGATGGATGTTTCTGAGACCAATGGCACTCACTCGCAAGCGACTGTGCCGCCCGTGAACTTCCCCACTCATGACTGGTCCAACTTCCGCTGGCCCTCCTCCTCCCCTTCGCCTCCTCCCCCTGCTGCTGCTGCTGCTCCTGCTCCTGCTGCGCCTGCTGCTGCTGATGGCGATGCTGCTGCCAGTGGTGCTGCCGCTAGTGCTGGTGGTGCTGCAGGAGGGAGCGAGCAGTGGCGAGTGGATGTGGTCCAACGGGAGATTGACATGTGTCGTGAGCTCATTGACCTGGAACCAGACAGGTGTGTGCGTGGTATGCAGTGCGATGTGTCGTGTGACTTGGACCATGCCGTGCCTGTGTGGTGTGGTCCCTCCAACACCAAGAAGAATAGCTCAACCCATTTCTCGTATCCCGTCTCCTTTCCTCCTGCTTCCAGCTTCGGTTCCTCTCTCGCACTCTCAAACCCAAAACCCCGCTCCCCTTCCCTTCCTGCTCCCCCTTGCTTGCAGCAAGTTAGCTATCCCCTCCTTCGCCCACCTGTTCTCCACTTCTTGAGTCAACTGAAACAATCCCCCATTCCCCCCTCCCTGCTTCCGCCCCTTTCCAACCCTTCAACCATCGTCTTCCAGCAAGTGGGCTCTCCTCTCTCTCTCCCGCCTCCTCTCCACTCATTGAGTCAAATGTCCTCCTACTCTCCCCCCTCCCCCCTCCACCCCTTCCCCCCCCCCCCCCCTCTCCTCGCTCTTCCAGCAAGTGGGCTCTCCTCTCTCTCGCCCGCCTCCTCTCCACACGCCGCCAGCTCCACCACCTCTTGCCGAACCTACCCGTGCAGGCTCGGCAAGATGCCGAGGCTTGTGAAGAGGTTCGGTCGTTGCTTCGACGGCTGGTGGGGATTGACCCATACCACAAGGAGTATTACCGAGACCTACTAGAAGCGCTGGAGGGGGATGAGGTGAGTAAGGGTGTGTGTCTAAGAGGAGCATGATGTCTGTGTCGACTCTGGTCAAAAGGTGGGGGTCGATCCATACTACAAGGAGTATTACCGGGACCTGCTAGAAGCGCTGGAGGGGGATGAGGTGAGTAAGGGTGTGTGTAAGGAGAGTGTGTGAAAAGGTGAGGGTGTGTGTGCAAGAATTGGGGTTGTGAATGAGGTGAGGAACAGCAACAGCATTGGCTGGTGGGGATTGGTCCATATCACCAGGAGTATTACCGGGACCTGCTAGAAGCACTGGAGGGAGAGGAGGTGAGGAGGGTGTGTGAATGAGGTGAGGGTGTTTGGATGAGTGTCCCACGTGGGGTTGAGTGAGTGTCCCACGTGGGGGTGAGTGAGTGCCCCACGTGGGGGTGAGTGAGTGTCCCATGTGGGGGTGAATGAGTGCCCCACGTGGGGGTGAGTGAGTGTCCCATGTGGGGGTGAGTGAGTGCCCCACGTGGGAGTGAGTGAGTGCCCCACGTGGGGGTGAGTGAGTGCCCCACGTGGGAGTGAGTGAGTGCCCCACGTGGGGGTGAGTGAGTGCCCCACGTGGGAGTGAGTGAGTGCCCCACGTGGGAGTGAGTGAGTGCCCCACGTGGGGGTGAGTGAGTGCCCCACGTCGGGGGTGAGCGCTCACCTGGGGGTGAAAGCCCGTGTGTGTCTAACCGGACCTTAGGTTTTCAATCTTGTCCCCTCGTTTGTCTCACACATCTTTGCACCTCCTCCCATTGCCCCCATCTCCAATTCACCCCATCAGGACACACCCACCACAATAAACACAACCAACACCTCCAGCAGCAGCAGCAGCAGCACCACCAGCAGCAGCACCACCACCACCACAGTGTGTCTGTCCCATCGGCACCTCTCCTGCCTGCCAGCGCCCCACCGCCTGCTGCCAGTCTCCACGCTGCTCCTCGACCACAACCGCATCTCCACCCTCACAGGTGTGTCGCCCAAATAGTAGTCACAAAAGAATCGCACACAACCGCACCACAACACCTGCAGCAGTCTGCTGCCAGTCTCCACGCTGCTCCTCGACCACAACCGCATCTCCACCCTCACAGGTGCGCCGCTCCTCTCGCCCACCTCCCCTCTCTGCATGCTCTGGTAACATCCCAACACTTATCTGCGCAAGCTCCCTCCGCCCAACCCCCCCAGGATTCGAGGCGCTTCAGAATCTGCAAGTGCTGGACCTCTCCCACAACCACATCGCCTTCTCCTCAGCCATCGCTCCTCTCGCCCACCTGCCCGCCCTCCGCACTCTCTCCCTCGCCCACAACCTCCTGGGAGCCAAACCAGTCGACCGCCACCGCTACTGCCACCCCTCCCCACGATGCTCCCGCCACCACCAATATTGCCACCCCTCTCCATGGTTGCTTCCCTCCCCCCCCCCATCTGTTCCCCTCTCCTCCCGTCTGTTCACTTCTCCCATCTGTTCCCTCCCATCCCCTCCCCCTTCCATCCTCCAGGTTTTGAGGCGCTTCAGAATCTGCAAGTCCTGGACCTCTCTCACAACAGCATCGCCTTCTCATCAGCCATCGCTCCTCTCGCCCACCTGCCCGCCCTCCGCGCTCTCTCCCTGGCTCACAACCTCCTGGGAGGCAAACCAGTTGACCGCCACCGCTACTGCCACCCCTCCCCACGATGCAACCGGTTCCCCTCTTGGAACATGCCAAGTAACAGCACGGGGGACGAAGTTTCCTCGTCTGCCGAAGCAGCAGCAGCAGCAGCAGCAGCAACAGTGGATCTGGTTCAGCAGCATTCGAACCTGTGGACGGTGCTGCAATGCCTGGGCGGGCTGCGCCAGGTGGCAGTGCTTGATTTGACGGGGAATCCTGTTTGTCAGTGGGATGGGTATCGGCAGCTGGTTCTTTCCCTGCTGCCACAGCTGGTACTCTTCGATGGGGGCTCTGTGTGAAGCAGCGCTGCTGCTGGTGCTGCTCCAGATGCGGCTGCGGTTGGTTCATTCTCTGCTGCCATAGTTAGTGCTCAATGGAGGGTGTGTGACGGGTGGAGGTGGGGAAGGACACTGCTCTAAGCACTCCTGCTGCACAGTTCTACTACGGTAAGTCTTGATTCTCCTGCTGCATTTGATGCCCTCCTGGATTCGTGTGAGCACAAGGCCTTGAAAGTGAGGCCATGAAAAATGCGACTGTCCTTGTTGCCGTGTTGGTTCGTCTAGTGAGCAACTCTAATGTCATTGAAGAAACTCTTTCTGATGGAATGGAACATTACAAAAGCATTCTCTTTCCTAGCCTAATGTATTACGTTACCTAGCTGCACATACGGTATTTCCTAGTGTAGGTGCATGCATGAGAGGTGCTTCTGCAATGTTCCCACACCACCCCCATCATCATAGACTGTCCTTGTTGGAATGCAGTACAAGTCACACCCTTCCACCGATCACTCTCCCTGAGAGTGCCCCGTCAGCACCGGAGAATCCGAAGTACAGGTCATCATTGGTGATCCCTTGGATCGATGCCAGCACATCCGCCACGTCAGCAGCTGACGCCCTGACGACATTGGCCAGCGACCAGGACACAGGGCTCATGGGCACCCACGTGCCAGGCAGGGCGAGGGCTGCTGAAGCAGCAGCGGTGCCGCAGGCGTTGCCCTTGAAGATGGCCTGCGAGTCCGGGGCCTTGGTCACTCCTGCTACGTACAGGTAGTATGTGAGCAGATAGTCCGAGCCACTGCATTGGGGGGGAGGTGAGGAGGTGGATGGAGGGAGGTGGAAGGGAACATGAGTCAGCAGGTTTGAACGATCTGAGTAGCACGAGTCAACACGAGTCAGCACGAGTCAGCACGAGTCAACACGAATCAGCATGAGTCAGCAAGAGTCAACTTACATCTTGAGGATCTGAATGTCAGCAGCGCCGGCTTGGAGAGACAGCAGGCCGTTGCATGACGTCAGCACGGCACGCAGCATGCCCGCCTGTTGGGGCAGAAGATTCGCGATATTCCCCACCACGCTGCTATTGACTCCAGCGCCGTTGAGAGCGGAATTCAAGGCGTTGAGCATCCCGGCGAGGGCGGACACGTTCCCGTTGAGCCCTGCCACTCGCTGCGTCACAGCCGCCAGCCGCTGCCTCACCGCCGCGCGGATCGCCGCGCTCCGGCTCGCGGAAGCCGCAGCGGTGGCTGCACTAGACAAGCCCACCGAGCCTACGCGTGAGCCTAAGGCCGAGCCTGCGCCCGAGCCTACTCCCGAGCCGATTATCCCCGCCAGGTCCTTGTTCAGAGCGGCGATGCTGGTGCTGATGGAGGAAATGTTGGATCGAATCCCCGAGATCTGGGAAATCAGATCCGTGAAGTTCAGATTTGACCCTGAGATGTTCAGCGCGTTCAGATTAACGAGGCTCGCGTTTAAAGCAGCGAGGTTGGATTTTAGCGCGGATATCTGCGCCTGGAGTGCAGCGTCCGCGGAAGCGTTGCTGCTGAGGGCCGCCGAGATCTGATCGAGCGATTTCTCGAGAAGCGCGTCGAGAGCGTCGAGTTGAGCGCCGCTGCGGGGCTGCTGCTGCTTGCTGCTGCGACGGCCGCCGCGACGGCTGAATTCAAGCCGGGTGGAAGACGGTTGGTGGGTAGACTTCCGACGCCGGGAAGAAATCGGCCAGCTTCGACTCGTGGTGTTGCCAAAAGCACTGGATTGAATGACAAAACGAAGAAAGATGAGTTTCGAGGACAAAATGCGACTGAAAGTTCGTGACATACATGTTGTTCATGTGTAGCGCGTGAAGAGGTGCTCTCTGGTGCTGAATAGCTTGGCTTGGCGAAGTGGCTCACCTGTGAGGACCAGAGCGACAAGCCCGAGTAGCGTGGAAGGAGCTGCTGTGCGTGCCATGAAGAGTGTCGAGCTACTATTTTTTTAATCGAAGATTGAGTACTAGTAAGTGGTTGAAGAGAGCTCAGGGAGGCGCTGTTCGCTTAACAATCTAAGATTGGAACGAAAATCGCTGTGATCGGTGAGTGCGACGAAATGTGTGCACGAGTTGTTGTTATCAGTGTCTGAGGTAGTGTGGTGCTGGAATGCTGATTTGGGTTGCGTTGTGAGAGTTGACGCCCAGATCTTTTCTGGTGCTCAATTTATATGTTCCTGCGAGACTGCGTGGAGACCTTGGAATTGCAAGGCTTTTGTGCGGTGGAGCTAGAAATTTCGGAAATTTCTGTCCGGACCGCAGATTGCGTGCGTCTGATTGGTTTACCTCCTCTCATCGAGGCGCACGCGGAGTGGCTGGGAGCGGTGCTGTGAGCGAGAGGTTGGTGGTCGGTCGGTCGGAGGATGGTGAGGGCGGAAGGGAGCGTGAATGCTGTTGAATGGACGGGGCAATTGCACCGAAAATGGCAAGCGAATTGCATTGATAAGAGCGTGTTACATTTTCGATTTTTCCGTACGGTCCGGACATTAACCACTCTGAAACAAACTGAAACCCACTTGAACAAAACGTTTAAAAAAAAAAAACCAATTTTGACCGTTCAGACGGTCCGGTCCGTTTGGGAAAAACCGAAAATGTAGCACGCCCTAAGACACAGTCCTTTCGTTTCTGTTTCGCAACGCTGTACACTTTCATATATAGAAATATCTTCCTAGGTTGTACAAGACATGAGTTTTATGGGCTCTGGCCCAACTCACATATCAGATTCCCTCCACGCTAGAGAAATTCTACCACAATGTTGAACGGTGTTACGGGTGCAATGAATCAAAGTAGCGAGAATTGCACTAAGGTGTCAAACGAGTACCAAATGTGAGCGAAGGCATGAGCGAACATTTATACGCGAAACATGCAAACGGTAACGCGGTGCATGCGAGCTTAGCTAGTGCTACGCTGAAGCAAGACTTGGGCTAGTCCCGAAGCGTAGGCCGACACGGCCATGCCAGCAGTGCGAGGTTTGGTGAAAACAGTGTGCGTGAAGTCGGCGAAGCCCTGTTAGCAGTAACAGGCGAACAACGGCTGTTGCTGTACGTGATGTAGTCGGCCTCCGTAAGGAATGCCGAGAAAATTCCTTACACTACCCCCCCCCCCCCCCCCCCCCCCCCCCCTCAAGAAGCCCCCTCCGCTACGCGAGTGCGTGTATATCGCGGAATCCCCAGCTCCTCAGGTACACTTGCAGGGCAGGGTGGTTTTCGATGTTGGCCAGGGGCACCCAGCTGTCCTCAGTTGGTGTGCGATCCTTCCAGCAGACGAGGAATTCAATCCTCTTGAGTCCCGTGGGGTGTCGAATCCAATGGCTCATGATTTTTTCGGGCTCGATGATCGGCTCCGATGCAGGGCGAGTCATGGATGGCGGGCGGTGGCGAGGCAGTTGGCTTGTGGTTGGGATGTAGGGGCGAAGCAAGCTGACGTGGAACGAAGGGCTGATGTACCAGTCGGTCGGTAACAGTAGGTGCGCGGTTACTGGCGTGATCATGTGGCTGATTTGGAATGGGCCACAGTAGCGCGGTCGAAGTTTTGGTACATCGGGCAGTTGCAGATTTTGCGTGTCGAGCAGTACGTAATCCCCTGACTGGTATGTGACTGGGCGGCGGTGGCGGTCAGCGTTGCGCTTAGCGATGGCGTTTACTTTTTTAATTGCTTCTGCGGCTCTGGTGCGGGCAGCTTGCAGAATTTCGGCGAATTGCTGTGCTTGTGGTGTTGGGTTGTCAAGACTCGGCGTCATGGGCCCTGTAGGATTTTGCCCGTAGTTCAGGTAGAAGGGGGACTGCTGCGTCGTCGCTGACGTGGCATTATTGTACGCGAACTCGATCAGCGGCAGCTGCTGCTCCCAAGTCGTGGGGTCGTCGCACGTGGCACGAATCAACTGCTCCATCGTCTGATTCGTCCGCTCCGTTTGACCGTCAGTCTCGGGGTGGTACGACGAACTGAACTGCAGCCTGGTTCCGAACTGCTCCCAGAGGTTCTTCCAGAAGTTTCTGGTGAAATTCGTGTCCCTGTCGCTGATAATCGCTGCTGGTATCCCGTGCAGGCGAACAATGGCCGCGATGAACAGACGAGCGGTCTCCTCGGCTGAGATCGACTTTTTGCACGCAGCGAAGTGTGCCATCTTCGTCAACCTTTCAACGACGACCATCACCGTGTCGTTACTCCCAGGGTTTGAAGGTAACCCTATGACGAAGTCCATGGTAACCTGCTGCCAGGCGCGCTCGGGCGGTGGTATCGGCTGCAATTGACCCGCCTTCCGCTTCCTTGAGCTCTTCATCACCTGACACGTGGGGCACGAGCCCACGTGCTGCTGTACGTCGGTCAACAGTTCTGGCCAGTAGTAATACCGCTGTAGTTGCTGTCGCGTTTTTTCTACCCCAAAATGTCCCGAGGTAATTCCGTCGTGTGCCTCCTGCAGTAGTAGCTCCCTCAGTAGTGAGTACGCGGGTACCCAGATGCGGTTGGTGCTTGTTTTTACGTAATAAACTCCTTTAGCTTCTGCCAGTTGCTGTGAATTTCCGGTCGTGAAGAATGGGTCAGTGCGGTATCCGTGGGTAAACAGGCCTGTTAAAAGTGGGTTGGTCTGGGCGAGTAGGATGGCGTGGAGTTGGTGTCAGATTATTATGCTCTAGCCTGTAGTGGGGTGCTCTATAGCGAGTACAACCCTTCTAGGTTTTGCTATTTGTATCCTCATTCTTGCTAGTGCAATTCTCTTCTTTCTTCTAAAATTTCAAATGGTATCAGAGCAGGTCGATCCCCTTGGATCGATCCTGTGGGTGGGCTCACCACCTCGTTGCTTCCGCTGCAACTGCTACTGCTCCTCTCTGTGCCGCCGCCGAGAAGCCAGCAGCTCCAGTCGCCCGTGAGATCGTTGCGCCAGTCGCCCGTGAGCCCGTTGTGCCAGTCGCCCGTGAGCCCGTTGCTCCAGTCGCGCGTGAGTCCGTTGCTCGTCTACCGCTACTTTTAGCCGCGGAGCCAGTTACTCCAGTAGCCCGTGTGCCAGTTGTTCCAGTTGACAGTGTGCCAGTTGCTCCAGTTGCCCGTGTGCCAGTTGCTCCAGTTGCGCCGTGTGCCAGCAGCTTCAGCTGCCGCCCACTTCCTCCTCTCCTCTCATAGTCCCTCCTCCTCCACACTAGCCCTCTGCGATAGCCTCTAGCTTTGCTCATAATTGTGAACTTTAAACTATTGCTTCTTGAACTTGTGCTCAGAATGTGTGGTGACATTGTGATCCACCCTGAGCTTGTACTGCTTTGCTTGCTCTGCTGATTACACCCCACTTTGGCTATGGGGGTGTGTCAGAATATTATGCTCTAGCCTGTAGTGGGGTGCTCTATAGCGAGTACAACCCTTCTAGGGTTTGCTATTTGTATCCTCATTCTTGCTAGTGCAATTCTCTTCTTTCTTCTAAAATTTCACAGTTGGGCGGTAGGGCGGGTGAGTGCGTCGGCGATATTGGATGTGCCTTTCTTGTACGTAACCGTGTAGTGGAAGTTGGACTCGAGGTAGTCCAACTAGCGAATCTGTCGTGGATTGAGATTCGGTTGGGCGCGTAAGTACTGTAGTGATCAGTGGTCTGTCCGTACTGTCACGTCGGCGCCAGTCAGGTAACACCGCCAAACCTTGAACGCGTGCACGATCGCCAACATTTTGCGGTCGTGTATCGGGTAGTTGCGTTCGGGTTGATGCAGCTTGCGGGACTCGTACGCGATTGGCTGGAGGCCGTTCCCGAAATCCTGCAACAGTACTGCTCCCACAGCGATGCCACTTGCGTCAGTGACGAGCTCGAACGGACGGTGTGGATCTGCAGTGTGAAGCACGGGCGGTGAGCACAAAATGTTTTTGAGGGCCGAGAAGGCAGCTTGCTCTTTCTCCCCCCACGTGTACTCAACCCCCTTTCTCAGCAGGTCAGTCAACGGGGCGGTCAGTTTCGCCATGTCGGGGACGAACCGGCGCACGTAGTTGACGAACCCCAAAAAACTCTGCAACCCGGTCAAGTTGGTCGGCGCGTGCCATGCTTGAATCGTCGCAATTTTCTTCGGGTCTATTTCCACTCCTGCGGCTGAAATAACGTGTCCCAAAAATTCCAGGCGGTCCTGTAAAAACTCACACTTAGACGCTTTGGTCAGTAGGCGGTGCTCACTCAGTTTTTTAAAAACTGCGTCGATGTCCTGTAAATGTTTTGCCTCGTCAGGGCTGTAAATCAGGATGTCGTCCATGTATACTATGACGCACTTATCTAAGAGCGGGCGGAAAACTTCGTTCATGGTCATTTGAAAAGTGGCGGGGGCGTTGGTCAATCCGAACGGCATGACGGTGTATTTGAAGGATCCATAGCGTGTGCGAAATGCGGTCTTAGGGCAGTCGGGCGGGTTGACGCGAATCTGGTGGTAACCCCCTCGAAGGTCGATTTTTGAGAAAACCCGGGCTGTGCGTGTCAAAATTAGAAGGAAGAAAGAGGATTGAACTAGCAAGAATGAGGATACAAATAGCAAACCCTAGAAGGGTTGTACTCGCTATAGAGCACCCCACTACAGGCTAGAACAATAAGATAATATTCTGACACACCCCCATAGCCAAAGTGGGGTGTAATCAGCAGAGCAGGCAAAGCAAAACAAGCTCAGGGTGGATCACAATGTCACCACACATTCTGAGCACAAGTTCAAGAAGAAATAGTTTAGAGTTCACAATTATAAGCAAAGCTAGTGGTAGTCACAACGGGCAAGTGAGGAGGAGGAGGGAGAGTGAGGGGAGAGGAGACAGGAGGCGACGGCTGAAGCTGCAGACACACGGGCAACAGGAGGCAGACTGGCTCAGCGGCTACCGGACAGCGCCCGGACTACAGGAGTAACAGGCCCCGCGGCTCAAATAGCGGCGGACGGGCAACGGACCCACGGGCGGCTGGCACAGCTGGCTACGACTGGGC